CCCTGCTGTCTCCGCCCCGTCCGCAGTCTTTGGGCATTGGTTTTGAGGTATGAAGTTGTTTTTATCCACCGATTAGTTGAATCCCGCTACGCACCATCTAGATCCGCCTCCGGTATGGATGGAGGGCCGAGCGAGCACGATTTCGCTGCTATCGCACGACACATCGAGCTTTGTAGAACCTGAGATTCGTCATCTAATATATTAATAGATTGATGATCTTGGGATTGCCATGTTTTGGAATCAGATGTTGCATACGTTCACCGAAGCTAACCATTTATTTTTCTGTAAGAGCTAGGGTTTTGATTATTACTGCAGTGATCAAAGTCAATTGTGCGATTTAGGGTTATATGCGATGCTTTTTCGCTTGCTTATTTAGCTTTGAACGCATGAACATTCTTCTAGAGTTGGAGCTGGACCAGTTCTCGTTTTGTTGCTGGCTTACTGAATCTAGTTTCCTTGCCTTCCGCAAGATTAAGCTTGTTTGGATGGTGGTGGTTTGGCTCAATCCTTTAGGATACTGGTGGTTTGGCATAATTTAACCAAAATTCCCTAACATTGAAGGGGTGGGTCTAACCCCTGTTTATCTCAAGAGGGAGTTCTTGATGTCAATTCGTGGCTCACTGTTCCTCGAAACAGGCTCTTGCCCCACCTTTTTTATATATAAAGCACAAACAGCCAAAGTACACTGTTGATGGTTTGATTAATCACTCATTATCTTTGTGGAAGATTTATTAGATTCTGCAAGATATAAAGATCGGATGCACACTTGTCTATTTTTTTGGTAATAAACAGATGCCTTCTTTTATGGTTATTATGTCCTTACCCCATAATAATCTATCCGTTCTGTTTTCTACTATTGAAGGAATCTTATCAATTTTAACTATGTGATTAAACTACCCTTGGTCTTTAACTTCTTTTGTCCTTTTAGACGAGGATATTTTTTTGGGGGTTCATAATCTATGATGTACAGTGCTGTCTGTCCGTCCATGCTTAGCCTTAAACATGCTAGAATGCTGAATGCTGACTTCTCTATGAAAGTAAAAGATACACCTCTGATCGCCAAAGAAGGGCGTGCTTTCTTTGTGCTTAGACCAAGGAAGGCCATCGGCAGAGATTTCTTTCCAATTCTATCCCTAATCTCGACTCACCATGCACGCGGCAAGTCAATGGCCAACAGCGCTTCATCTCCCTCCACCACGCTCGTGTCCTGATCTCATAGATTACATGCTGCATGCAGCCAATAGCAAAAAGAACTCCTTGATTTGGAGGAAGGAATTAACTACACGCTGCATGCAGCCAATAGCAAAAAGAACTCCTTGATTTGGGCGGAAGGAATTAACTGCACTGCGTTTTTTGGAGAGAGAACCCCTAAGCATTTTCTTCACTCCACCCCTAAACTTCCTCCCGGCGCATTCTTTTGGGCAAAACAGATGATTTTATCCATGCCCTTCTTTGGCGATCAGAGGGAGTAATGTGTACTGTCTATGTCTTTAAGGCTTTCACTTTTTGTAGTACTATATTGTTTTTCTCCTTGATATATGATATACTCGTGTCAACATTTTCATCCACTTGTTCCTGCCAGAAATGTTAAAAGGGGGTTTGCTAACTTGTAAATTCAAACTTGATACTCCCTCTGTAAACTTTATCTTTTAGATCACTAAAAGTTTACAGAGGGAGTAGTTTGTAATGTGATGCAATATGTATCGCTAACTAATGGATTTCACTTTATGTAGATTTAATGAGCTGCAAACCCTTGGAGACTTCCTTGTAGCCAATACAGATATCGGTACTTGATTACAACAAGGAACAGCTGGAGTGTATAGCTGATGTCTGGCCCACCTGTTTTTTCTGTGTTACAGGGTAGCAATACAACCCACAGCATAAAAGGTTAGCTAAATGCTATTTATCAAGCCTTCTCGCAGCAGTGAAGCTGAAATTTATGGCTTTTAACAGACAGTTTGCTTTAATATGTATGCATATATCTTTCAGGGCAACAAATCTCAATGATTGGGAATGGTCATTCTTTTCAGCAAGGGGTAATGCCTGATGGTCTTCATATAATTTAATATTCACAAATTACCTTTTTCTTGGTGCTAACATATTAAATGTTACATGCAGGTGTATGTCATGGACCCTTCTTCTTTTAACCAAGGTACTACACAACCCTTGACATAACTTTCTGATTATGTAAACTGCTATATATTTTCACTGACCATGGTGTGCTTGGTCAGGTATTTATGCTGAGAAGCAAAGCAGTTTCGCAGAGCGTGCCAATATGATGCAGTTAAATGTAAGCTGCCCTGTCTCCTCAATAATGTTATCCAGTCTAAAAAGTATTTTCTGAGATGTTTGTGTTTTTTTTTCTGTACAGAACTTCATGGCAGACAATTCTTCGCCTGGTACGTTTTCTTCTAAACACATTGTTTCCAAATTTTATACACTTGTCCAAACATGCCCTTTTTTTTCAGAGTCCATTATTCTCAAAAAAGAAAAGAAATATGAGTAGTCTTTTTCTGCAATTATGTTGGAAACTTCCACCATTTCTTCGTAAATTTTTATTTGCTCAAAGTTATCTTGATGTCTTCTCATTGTACGGGAATGGGTTTTAGATATATCTATTGGTGCTAAACCAATATATTTTGGCAGTTTCGATAAGATCAGACTGCATGCATTGGCACAAACAATTGGCTAATTGAAATTCATTCTAGGATGAAAATCTATATTTCTGTAGCGTGTGTAATCTTTCTCAGGCTCATTTTTTCTTTTCTTATTGAACAGCTGGAAACCGCTGCCAGAGACTTGGTTGTAATGAAGTTGTTGAAGGCCAGACAGCGTTCTGCAAAAGCCACCGTTTAGGCCAACAATGCCAGATGATTGGCTGCCCTCAGATCCCACCAAATGGCGTAGCTTTGTGCATGACCCATGGTGGAGGCCATCCTGGTTCCAGTGCAATACCACTCGCTGAATCTGAAGGTTCAATGAAGTACGAAGGAGATGGCCAATTTAGAGTGATGGAAAATGCTATGGGTAGCACAGTCATACCTAATCCTGATGGCGAAGTTGTGATGTGCAAGTACGAAGGATGTAGCAAACGATCCCAGGGAAATACTGTGTATTGCAAGGTCCACAGTGGTGGTTCAAAGGCCTGTATGGTTCAAGGTTGTACCAAGGGAGCACATGGAGGCACTCCTATGTGCATTGCTCATGGAGGAGGCAAGCGCTGTTCCGTCGCTGGATGCCGCAATGCTGCATGTGGAAGCAGTCAAGGTCGCACCGACTGCTGTGTGAGGCACGGTGGTGGCAAGAGGTGCAAACATGATGGATGTGGAAAGGGTGCTCAAGGGAACACAGATTTTTGCATTGGACACGGTGGAGGGAGGCGGTGCAAGTTTGAAGGATGCGGAAAGAGTGCACAAGGGCGGAGTGATAACTGCATCAAGCATGGTGGTGGCAGACGCTGCAAGTTTGAAGGATGCAGCGCCAGCGCAAAGTGGGGTGTGGATTTCTGCTCTGCACACAGGAAGAGCATGCTGGGCGAAGGTGATACTGCCGATGGAGCACCAAAGCCGAAACGTCGGGCCAAGAAGTCTGGGGCGAAGAAGGCCGAGAGGGCCAAGAGGGCAAAGAAGACGGCTGATCCAGCTGGTCCCTCCAGCGAGGATGTTACCATGCCCGCTGTAATTTCTGCCGATATGCCCGAGATGGGCGCTATCCATGTCGCCGCCCCCGTTCCGGACCGTCCCAAGTCACCTGAGACCGCTATAGCGCTTGAACAGCCACCACTTCAGCTTCAACAACCACCGCCGCTTCAGTCCCCGGCTCCATCTGGATTGGCCGCCTCAGCAGAGGAGGGCCTGCCAGCAACAGGTAGTGTATTCTTTGGTTTATAGAAATCATACAGTTCCATGAAGATGAAGGTTGTCTGCATAGAGTTGTCAAACTAAAAGGTTGAGTCTGTTACAAAGTGTTGTCCTGCGGATCTTAGGAGTTTAGTGATCCGGTGTCCATATGAACGTGAGTCCTGTGAGTTGACTAAATGGTTGACTGTGAGTTCTGTGAGTTGACTTAAAAAGTATAACTGCACATTGTGGTTTACATTTCGTTATAACTGCACATTGTGGTATACATTTCGTTCGTCTTTCGTCTGCTCGTTGTCTTTTTTGTCTGTGAAATATCGTGAAAGGTGCAGTGCCTCCCGATAATCCGAAAGATGTTCTTGGATGTGCAGATTTTAGGCCTGTTCGGAACTCCACAGCTCCTGGAGCTGCTTCGTACTCCCTCCGTTCCAAATTACTTGTCTTGGATTTGTCTAGATACGGATGTATCTAGACTCATTTTAGTGCTAGATACGTCCGTATCTAGACTCATTTTAGTGCTAGATACCTTCGTATCTAGACAAATCTAAGACAAGTAATTCGGAACGGAAGGAGTAGTTTTCAACTGCAACTCCATATAACTCCGGGGGTGGAGTTGTGGAGTGGAGGTTCTCCGAACAGGCCTTTCTCGTTTTGTTTTGGTTATTATTGCCGCACGTATGTATAGAGCATCTGCTCCAGGTGGTAGATGATCATATTTCTCCATGAGAATTGCGAACGTATATTTTTTTAGTTGTATATAGGTTGAAAAATAGATTAATAGTCATCTCATAAAAAGGGATTCGTAGTACGTACTGTACTTACCGAGCGAGCGACCTCATGCTCAGCGGTGCGGATCTTTGGAACATGGACCAATGCACCTGAATTGGAAAACATTTCTTTTTTAAAAAGTGTCAACTTTCTGAAACCTTTCTTACCAGAGATGGCCTAACGTATTACTCGTGTAATAAGTTAGTTTCACAGATGAATGGCTGTAGTGGTATCCTCGGCAGAAAAAAAGAAGCAAAATCGCAAGTCCGAAAAATATGAATGGTATCAATTTTTTTTTAGGGTCCAGAATACAACGGTAGTCATTCTTTCACAAAACTTTTCGCACGAGCATTACACTAAGTCATATTTGTAATAAAAAAGTTTTAGAATTTTTTGACTCCTTCTGATATTTCAAGTCCTTTTTTTCCCAATCCGAGTGTAATGGGACCGAGACCCATAGGCTATTTCGGAGATGCTCAATGTATTTACTAATTTGGGAGGGCACAACGGATCAAACTGGAGGTACAGTCTAAGTACAAAATTTGACGTGTGTACCAATGTTTCGTAAATAAATAGGAGGTGTAAGAAAGTTAAGTTACCATCAAAGTCATGTCGTCTAATTTTTGTTTGGCATAAAGTCGATTTCCCCGTGCGTTTTTCCTTCCTCCGGTCGTCTTCCTCTACACTTTGAGTCGCCCTCTGATGTCGGGCCAGCTACCCTGGCTAGGTACCTTCCACGTGCACCTCGCTACTCGCCATGCCAAAGCTGCCCCTTCCACCATGCTACAACAATTCCATTGCCATCTCTCTTACCCTTTCCCCATCAATACCCTTCTTCTCCGGTGGCGATGTCCCCATCTTCCACTTGTTCCTGGCTCATCATCGTCAAGATGCCGCAGCCGGCTGTCGCCTCCGTTTTGAAAGCTCCGCACTACCTCAACCTTCTTCACCAAGGAATATAAACCTACACCTTGGCCATTTTCATACAACTTACAAGTAGCAAACACGTAAGTTATATAGATACTTTCATCATAAAATAGAAGTTATATGGATACTCCCTTTCAAATTCCTCGTCAGAAGGTTGGCCATGGCTACAACGAGTGGACGAGGAAATACCATGGAAGGACTTTAGGATCAGTGTGCCAAAGGTATCTAGGGCACTGTTTCATGTGGTTACTCGAGCTACGGTCGGTGACGGGTCACTCATCATCTTTTGGGAGGACCGTTGGATAGATGGAATGCGAGTGGAAGATGTAGCGCCACTAATATATGCTGGAGTCTCTCGACGAGCAAGGAAAGGCAGGAGGCTCCAAGATGCGTTGTTGATAGGACCTTGGGTGAACGATGTGCGCCCTAACCTAAATTTCAAGGCTCTACAACATACTTGCACCTGTGGCAGCAACTACAAGCTATCCGGCTGAGGGATGGAACGCCAGTGTGTTGTCATGGGCTTGGGAAAGGGATGGCAAATAGTCAGTTCGATCGGCATATGCCTCCAAGTTCGTAGGGAGAGATGTGATGCCAACCGCGGACTTCACGTGGAAGTCGAGAGCTCCCCTTCGATGTCGATTCTTTTTGTGGATTGCCATGAAAAACTGGTGTTGGACTTCGGATCGCCTTGCACGTAGGGGCCTCCCCCATCATGACACCTGCCCGTTTTGCGCACAGGAGGAAGAAACCATGGAGCACATATTGTTGACATGTGGCTTTGCAAGGACCAATTGGTGGACTCCATGCACGACCATTGCTAAACCAGAGTGGACACCGACGACGCAAGGCAGACTAGCGGATTGGTTTGCAAGCAAGCCAAAGGAGCTTCGGGCCTTCGCCATGCTAACGCTCTAGGAATTATGGAAGCATAGGAATTCCATAGTCTTCGAGGGTGTTTCCCCCTCGTTTGAGGCTATCATCGAGAGGATTGCAAACGAAGTGTCAGCTTGGTACGGAGCTGGACAGCTCAAGGGTGACTGGGACAGGATAATGACAGAGCTCTACTGGTGGGCGAGACTTGAGTAATACATTGTAGGCAACTAGAGTGGACTTGTAAGCTATATGCTTAGGGTGTGGCGTTGGTTGATGTTCTTGTTTTGTTGTAACATCAACCGTGGACTAGGGTTATATACCCATCCCCTTTCTATATAATATGATACGTACACGCGTGTGTATTCGAGAAAAAAGAATGTTGAGAGAGATTTTTGGGCTCAATATCCTCCACATGATGGAGGACAAAGACAAGTAGATGGTACCTACCATTGAAGGTTCGAGAACTCATTGTTGTTGACAAGGATAATGCTAGCTTGATGATAGTCCAGTTCCATCCACGTCGCTAACATGGTCACCGACATAAAAGCATGCGAAGGTTGTTTGCCCCTTGCGGTCAGTCACTACTGCTTCACCTTTCCTTAACTATGTAATTCTGATTAGAGACATAGGCGAGTATTTTGGACTTCCAAATTTTCACAAGGGGATATATATAACCATATCATGTGCGACACACATGCCAACTTGCATGCATCTTTCCCATATGGAATGACCATGTAGGTACTATAGATGGCCAAATAAAGTTTAGACCGTATACACTCTCAAAAGACGAAATTAACCCTAGTTTGGTACTAGTGTTTCTTGGCCCCAAAGGGGTTTGGATTGGAGGAGGGATTTTGTGATCCCCTCCCCTTCACGCAGTCCCCTTCGGCTTCCTTTTTTTTATGTTTTTAGACTTGTTGAGTTATGCGCTTAGCAGAACCTTGGTGTTGGGGAACGCAGTAATTTCAAAAAAATTCCTACGCACACGCAAGATCATGGTGATGCATAGCAACGAGAGAGGGGAGTGTTGTCTACGTACCCTCGTAGACTGTAAGCGGAAGCGTTATGACAACACGGTTGATGTAGTTGTACGTCTTCATGATCGACCGATCCTAATACCGAAAGTATGGCACCTCCGCGATCTGCACACGTTCGGCTCAGTGACGTCCCATGAACTCACGATCCAGCAGAGTGTCGAGGGAGAGTTTCGTCAGCACGACGGCGTAATGACGGTGATGATGATGCTACCGGAATAGGGCTTCG